ATAGGGTGGGCCGTGTCCAAACCAAATGCCAACATTTTATTGAGCACATCGTGAAAAGGAAAATGATATAATGTGATAATCGCCAAAACAGATGGTGGAATAACTGAATCATCTGTCCTCCGTATACCGAAGTAGTGGATTAGATAATGTGTTTCGTCACTCTAACCTAGACAAGGCAAAGCATCTGGTGCTAATATAAGGAAGTTGAGACCCCGGGAATAAAGGGTGCGGTAAAAACGTGCAAATCGAGAATCTACGGTCCACTGTCGGTTTCGGCCACCAAGTAGTAGACAAATATTGATACTTTTCCGATTCGACGCAAGTTGCGCAGCGTGTGCGTGACCCTTCTCCACCCGCGTTCTTTTATCGATGAATGGTTTGCTGCGACCACCCTGTGTTCACCCACTGCGAGTACAGGGTGGAGCAGCTATTGCAGCCCATCGTGCAATAACCTGTTAGCTAGAATTACCAAGATGACCGTATATTATCACTGTGAAGTTAAAAATCTGACTAATCATCATAGTTTGGGAATCGGTCGTCTGTAAGAACAGGTCAATAGATCATGCCATTTTACCCTGTGAACTTGCAACTTCTATAATCCTGAAAAACGTAGAGAGCACCACCGAGTGACAAATCACGGATTCAACACGATTGCCACCATCGCAGACCGAAGCGAACATTCTACACTCCCATGCACTAGGAAGGTGGGTATCGTCAAGGCAAGATCGAATAAACACCTCTATCACCTCTGGGAGGATGACGTGGGATAAATATGCCTTCGTGGGCTGGCTCCTCGATATATTCGCTAGTCCTCAAGGAGCCCCCAAGTCCTAACAGTGGCGTGATCCGTGTGAGAAAAGTATGATACAGCGACACATACTTGGGAATACATATGTATCGCAGCCGGAGAGTGTCGAATGTCTTAGATGCCAGCATACTACCACTTTATGCCCGCACTTGGATACACAATGCATAAACCGATCAGCAAATAATGTACACCAGAATGATCAACAAATCCACCTCGATCTTTTATCGTACAATCTTCAACGGTAAAACAACACCTATTTTTAATCTCACAACTGGGATGCGCCGAGCATCACAAAAGACTGGGCAGCGATCGGTTCTTGAAGAACAAAGAGTCATTTCACACCCTACGTAAGTTTAAATCACTATTTTACAGATGCGTAATTTCAGTGGCTGATTCTCGCTAGCGAAGAACCGAGCTAAATGGTGGTTGTATTGTTAGTTCTTTGTCCATTCCTATCGGGCTTTGCCTACCCTCTGACGATGCGTAATACGAAAGACAATATTAACTGATTGCCATTGTCCTATTTCTTATTTAAATTTCCTGAATATCTTACTGCCGGCTCGTAGCCTTAAAGATCACAAGCCTGCCTTGTAATCCGAGGGTGCAAGTTTGAGTTTGTGTAGGGACTGGACGACCCTCGCAATATCCTTAGTCCACATGGTGGTTGCGTGGCATCGGTACTGCGTACCGGCGTCCTGCTAATGCCTCTTTTTGTATTGCGGCACAACTGTTATTTCTCATTACCAGCGAATGTGCAGAATGATGATAAAGGGGACACGAAACCTTCTGGTCATGAAAATTTGCATGACGCTTCTCTAAGTTTGACGAACCGATCTGTCAACATAAGGATGTTGGCATGGGCTAGCTCGGAAACCTCGTAAGTACGATCTTATACACTAGATAAATCAAAGATCAGGACAAACGTGTGCCTTAGTTACTTTCTGGATTAAATTGCCACAACTACACCATTTCTCATTTGATTGCATACTTAAGGTAATGGCTTTCATCCGTAGTGCAACAGCTTGCATCTTTAGCGCAAAAATATGATCCGACAATCATGAAAATTGCGTCCATGACGCCGCAGTGAGTTAGCTGTCCGCTCGCCCCAAACGGATATCTCGTTTAGATTATGTTCTGTTCTCCGAGCTGAACAGTTTCGTTGCAGACGTTTCATCACCAGTCGTGGTGACTTCCTCAGTGCGTTATAAGTAAACTGATTTGTTTTGTCGATTCTTACCGGTGAGCGAGTGACATTTGAACCTGCCAATGAGTCGAAAGAGGCGGCGCCCACACTGGGAACTAGCAATGATCACGGGACCTGAATCGAACCGAGCAGGTTCAAATGTCACTCGCTCATCGGTAAGAATCGACAAAACAAATCAGTTTACTTATAACGCACTGAGGAAGTCACCACGACTGGTGATGAAACGTCTGCAACGAAACTGTTCAGCTCGGAGAACAGAACAAAATCTGAACAGATCACCCGAGCTACAAGTATTCCGATTTATTGCGGATATCTCGTTTGCTCACTCAAGCCATCCGCTCGTCTAGGTGCGCATGAGCATCGAGTAGTAAGGAGGGATTGCGCACGAACTGGATCCAAACCCCAAAGCCTGGGATGTGAAGGTAAGGTGAAGTCAGTACAGTCCCGGACGAACGCAAGCGCAGCACTGATGTCCGAAAGAGTGGATCGCGCCCTCTAGGTTGGTCGAACGCGTTGTGAATGGAGTCAAAACGGCTTCACACCGAGGGCTGGTGTGAGCAAACGAGATGTCCGTTTGAGGCGAGCGGACAGCTGACTCACTGAGGGCGTCGTAGATGCAATTTTCATGACTATCGGATCATAACTTTTGCGCTAAGAATGCAAGCTGCTGCACTAAGGATGAAAGCCGTTGCGTTAAGAACGCAATCAATTGAGAAATGGTAGACAACATGAGGATACGATGACGCTTCGTAATAAATCGGAAAGTCAATTAGGCATGGGCACGATCACAGCAATATTCCTATGGATGGACTGCTTGATGAACAATCCTAAAGGGAACCGAAAATGATTAGCGGATGAAAGTAGAAAATATGCACGCAATATGGGTGCTTCAGCTGTAAGTGAGGCCCCTGAAATGAAGTAACATCAAGCATCGGGTACAAAAAACAGTTGTATGAAATAAAGTGAAGTACTGACACGATGCGAAATCTTTCCCTCCACAAAACCTGATTGATGAAACGCGGGCATAAGCCAGGAAGTCACATGATCATAAAGATCCTATTCTTAAATTCTCAGCTCGTTAGTGACTCATCAAAAATATTCCGTCGCAAAGATATGCTGAACATGCCGAGGACCTGGATTACTACCATCGACCTCATATCTCGCAGACTTTCATCAAACCACAGTCCAGTGAATTCATGCTGCACAAGACACATATGAAGACAATGAGACTGGTTTGTACAAGGATAAATCATGCTAAAGCATGATTGCACCAATATATAATGATCGATGCAAGTTCTCGGGGTTTCCAGGTATGTTTGCAAGATACGCCTAATTTTGTCACTATCCTGTCGGAGACTAGACTAATGAATCCCACTGGTAGAGAGTCTGCCAATAGTGCATACGCGGTTTCTTTGGATATCACAAGAGGCTTATCTATAGGACAAGTGGAAGAGGATGGTCCGATTACATCGGGAAATAAATGACATATAGAAAATTCCATAATTCTGTTTTCAGTACACGATCAGGACACTGGGGTCTTGACATTTATCCGGTTGAGGATGAGGAAGCAAGATATTGAGCAGCACACAAGGTCCCCAGTGAAATTGATATGAGGGGATTATTTCTGTAACAATATTCTTCTGGCGGTCAGGAGAAGCTGCAAACCGTAATATTTCGGGCTACAATTAGTCTTGTGATTGGAGCTAGCACATTCCGTTCGCTTGTTTTATTTCATTAGCTGGAGCAAGCCGATACATCAGGGGACGGAACAGATCCGCGACCAACTCCATCGCCGACGGAGTTCCACCACACAGAGACCAGAATGCACGAAAGGGAGCATACATCTTGCTGAATTATAGGTGCGTACGCATGTACATAGCTGTGATCTTTCAGATATGGAAAACCCTCCAATCATACATGTGGCAAACTGCCTTGGTTTCGTGTCCTTGTTTCGAAAGCAAATGTACATACCGTACACTTCAGAGAACAGATCCAAGCTTCATGTCTCCTGGGTACATGGTCGGAAGTTATCTGCGTAATCGTCGACCACCGGGAAACGTGAAGGCAGCTTCAAACAATGAATTAACGGGAACCGGGTTGGATTGAAAGTACCCGTGCGTGTGCCGCAGGCACAAAATGTCAGGGCGATGACAAGCGAGCAGACAGGATAGAAGTCAGGTAAGACGGACACCATTTGTAGACAATGCGGCCTAGATTCCGTAAGGACAAAATTTCGCCCGCGCGTTAGCAGTTTATGACCTGGCTATAAATCCGCTTCTTTGGGGTAATTATGCGACAGGTGGATCATACAGTTGTGAAAATCGCCAGCCGTGAGAAGTGAATCAATCCGTGCAATTGGGTGAACTTTGTAACCTAGAATACAACTGCGTGCACACACGGTGTTTTTGTGGGGCATTCAAAACACCTGGGCTGTGTCGTCCAGAACCTTTATTGCCGAATACAGAAGGAGGGGCACGATAGTTCAAATGATTCATCAACATATCTTCCAAGAATATTATACCGCGAAGTTATAAAAGCACTAACACTTAATGGTAAGGTTTCTATCAGTTTCCGATAGTTCATTGACCCTAGTTCCTAACCTAAGCGAGGTGAAGTGAACAATCCATTTTCGCCTACAACTTCGATGTTGGTTTGGGATATAAAAAGCTGAGACCGGTCGCTGTCGCCTTAGATCAGTGGCCAGTATCCTGAAACTATGGTAGCTAAAGTACGTGAAAAGGCAAGAACATTAGCCTGTTCGTGTTCAAAAATGTACGAAGAAGATAGATTCCTAATGCTGCTGCTCCTAGCTGATATCAAAGAATGGATGTCCCTGATGGAAACCTGATTATAAAAAGTGGCGGTCAATCCAACCAGTTCACAAAAGCTGTCTAGGCTGAGAAGAAGGGAATCGCTTCTCTACTGTACCTGAAGTTAAAAAACGGAAGAGTTTCAGTCAAAACATAAGTCAGAATAATAAAGAGTTAGCTAAAAAGTTGGCTAAAAACACCGCATTTAATGAAACGCCGAGGTCACATCTCAGTTGTTACACCAGGTGGACAGATTCAGGAAATAGAACTTCTCTATCAATGGAGGAGAGTGTTCTATTAGTGGATAGAAAGAGCCCAAACTTACACTACAATTCGAATCGTCGCCCAAATAACACGAAAAGGTGAATCCGGAAGATACGTGTAGCAAGGCACTCCCCCGGATAAGTCAGATAAAAAAATGGAAAAAGAATGTCGTGGATATTGGTGATCTGCAAGAATGCTACCAAATACAAGTTGAAAATGTTATGCAAGGTCAATGATCGGTTGATGATAAAAATACTGATCAATCATCTTCGTCCTGAAGAGTTTCCTTGTCAAACAGGTATTCACCCAGTCCGCTTCCAACACGGCGGAGGTTGGTGACGTGGTCCGAAATCTCCTTCATCGATTCGACTTGTTCCTTCAAAAACTGATCTGTAAGTCGAAGAGAGAAAAGTGCATAAAAAACGAACTGCTTTCATCAAAGAAACAGTAAGCAACTCAAAAAAGAAAGGCGCTTAGAGAAGTGGACAGTAAAAGTGCAACGGAAACGGTGCCAGGGTCGATCTTACGCTAAATTTGCTAATGCGAGTGCCAAATGACGGTGACTCGACTAAATAAAGGATGCCAAGATAAGAAAAATAAAATAGTAACAAGTTGGTGGTGTCGTCGTCAGGCACAGTGGTCTTGGGAAAGCAGAAGGAATGTTTAAACAGTATATTGCCCCAGTCCACAAAATGGCCAGAACAAGGACAAGAGAGTTAGCGATTAACCATACAACTCTCGTGCAGATCCAAAGTCGTGATGAGAAGCAAGGGGGCCTCTTCAGTATAGTGCGATAGCAAAATGGCACATACTTTATATCGGGCATTCCGCACATGCTGGTAACCGTAGTTTCAGGTTATCTTGAGTCTCGATAACATGGGCTCAGTGAAAATGACACGTTTGACGCATACATGCGTTCATCAACGTCATCCAAGATGAAATGTGGAAATCCATTCCTGTCACAAGTGGCTGTGTTTTAGTAGAAAAGTGGTTGCAGTCCTAGATCGTATTGGAATAATGTTGGCTAAGTTCACAAGTCGCTTCAGCTTCAACTCGCCTATACCACATAATACAGGTACGACAAACTGGGTACTTTGGGTCAAGTGTTGCAACAGACTGTCAAGACTTTCGTGTACAACCGATGAAATGACTGTTTCCTCTGAAATCTGCACTTACCCACATCATTGAAGATGTCACACTTCGATTGACGATTAGACGTTCGGGACCAAACTGCCCAGGTTGATGAGCAATTAAACACATAAACAAGATAGCTATTTAAAGCACACAAATAAGGTTCGAGGATCGGCCTCGCTGAGTTCGGGGATTCGGAGGAATAACACAGCATGCAAGTATTACGTATCTACGACATCGTTGTATTGGGCCCGTAAGCAGACTGAAAAGAGAAACCCAATTAGCAAGGCACCTCTAACTGCGTGCGATGGTGTGCCACCGTCTGTAGCAGATTGGTTTAATTGCGGTAGCTCAATCAGTCAAAGAGTAAGCAGTGGCCTATGCGTCCAGTTAGACCAATGGACCAAATTGAGGTGGTGAATAGGCATCACGCTGTGATTCTTCGCGGAAATTTCACAGAACGTGTTTCAAAACCATCAGAAGTAATCATTTATGAGAAGCAAGACAGGCAATTCCCGGCTAACTATCGGTGCCAGTGGGACCACCGAATGGGTAATGCTAACAGTCGGTGGTTACTAACACTGTTTCTGGTGGAACAATTGGCCATCTTTGCATTAGAGCCGCCTGTTATGCTGACGCCGTGGTTCGTTTCTAAACGTCATCTGGTTGGGTGGGGCCTTGGAGCGACTAACCGATGACATGGTGAGAGTAGGAAGAAACAGACTGAGAGGATGCACAGGGTCATTGAATGCAGCCTTTTTGCGTGGGAATACGGGAATAAACCACCGCCATGATTGTAGACCAATATATCATTTTGCAAAGCTGAAAAGTTAGCAGAGTGCATGATAAGGATACCTTGTCTGTTGCTGTTAGCCATTAACACTACACAATGGTTTTCGCGATGTTTTGTCAAATGCGATCGTGTTCATGAGCTTCTTTGGGTAGAGATGATTGAGTGAACCGAACCGTAGTCCCTGACCCATTCGAAATTGCAACCTGGTAGTAGCTTGATATTAATGGAATAGCTGGGTTAATAAATATTCAGATATGGAACATAGGCTCATTAGAATGATAAAGCACATACCATGAGCATGACTGTCACGTATGCGCTTGAGTATCGATTTGTAAATACAGGCCCTCACTTGACTGATCGAGGATAATTTTGCCTTACTTTCCTTATTTTATTGGTTTTCCTAGCCACTGTAACGCAGGATGCGTTTAATAAATCGGTTCCATACTACGCGTGCGCATTCTGTTCCGGTTACCGGCTAAGGGCCATAACTAACATTCTGATGACGAGGTTAAACTACTGCGATATTGTACCTTCCTACCTTACTTTGGAGTATTCCTTCTGAGAAACCAACACCGGCTACCTAGAACCGCTTGAATCGCATTTTTTTAAAGATTATTGGGAGCTACTACCCGTTTCGCAACCAAACACGGTACTCTCAGAGAGCCACAAAAGTAAATTATTGAGAAAATTTCTGGAGGATGAACGCCAAAGACATTTGGATGCCCGTGAGGAGACAGTGAACAGCACGCTAAGTCCACAGGGGGTTATGGGGTTTACGACCAAACACAAACTGCGCGGCCTTGCGTCAAAACCTTGAAGTGTCATAGATTTTATTGCGCGGATTCAGCAAGCCCTACCAGAGTGTCGATATAGTGAAATCCCAGTTATGAAGAGGCGATGGCTTTACAGTGATTGATATCCGATATCCGTAGCGAACAAGATCGTGAAAGAATGTTGTCGGAAGATGAGACGACGACGGGCTGGGAGAAGGCCGGCACTATTGTTCGACATCTGGAGAATGTCCATAAACAGTTAGCGGCTTTTTCCTTGCAACCTCACTCAGACGCAATCTAAACAGTTGACCGAAAAGATGTTAACCCGAGACGGTCCGAATTGTCATGTACCTGTTATCGATGTGGAAGTCAGCATTTATCAACCGAGGAATGTCGTCATAAACAGAGTATCTGCCGCCAATGCTGAAAATTAGGGTACTTGGTCCGAGTTTGCCGATCTAAAGCTTGCACAGTCGCGACATCACATTTTCCCAAGAAGCCCGTGAAGGTTGTCCAGTCTTAAGACGAATAAGACCAGCTAAATACGTTCTGGAACGCAACATCAAGCATCTGCAGCATTCACCCACCCTACACTGTGCAAGTGGAAATAGAAGGCCAGTTGGTTAAAATGGAAGCTGATACCGGTGCCTCAGTTATCATAAACAGTGCTGCATCAGTTAAAAGAGTACCCAAGTTATACCCCCTGTGAATCAAATTGCGGACGTACACTGGGCAGCCGATACCAGTCCTGGAAAAATGCACTGTTCATTTAAATTATCATGGGGAGAAGCGAACCTTACAGGCATATGTTGTAGCGAATGATTGTCCGAACTTACTCGGCTGCGACTGGATTAAATGCCTTCCGGCCACACTAGTGACAGTGAAGTTCGTGTCCACTAACCAACGCTTGGAGGATGCGCTCAACAAATAAGCTGATGTTTTTGATGAGAAACTGGGAAAATTGCACGGATATCAGGCTAGTAGCAAATTACGGCCGGGAACTCAGCCCCGCCTTTTCAGGGCACGTACCCTACCTTATTCCCTGAAATCATAGGTGGAAAAGGAGATAAAGAGACTGCAAACAGCAGGAACAATCGAGCCAGTCCAATACAGTGAGTGCGGAGCTCCAATAGTTCCAGTCCTGAAGCCGGGTGATACTGTGCGTATTTGTAGTGACTATCAACTAACTGTTAATCGTTGTTTAATTCTGGATAAGTATCGCTTACCTCGGATAGAGGATCTGTATGCTACGCTGGAAGGCAGATAGAAGTTTACACAGAGGCTTCAGTCACGCGTACTTACAAATTGTGTTACACGAGACCTCTCGCTCATGCACTACGATAAGTACACACATTGGTTTATTCCAGTACAAACGTCTGCCTTTCGAAATCAGTTCGGCCCCAGCGATACTCCAAAGGATCATTGATAACCTGATCAAAGATATTCCTTTCACTTGCGCCTATCTTGACGACATTCTAATTACAGGACGCACAGATGCTGAACATTTACGAATGCTATCCACTGTGCTCGAATGGCTACAAGTGTGGACTCAAACTGAAGAAGTCCAGTAGCACGCTTTTCGCAGATTGCGTTTGTTACTTTGGTTACCACGTCGATAAAACGGATTACACGTGTTAGAAGACAAAGTAAAGCGCATGCTTGTCGCACCTGAACCCAAAAATAAAGTTGAACTCCGACCGTTTTTAGGGATGTTTTCTCACGATCGTCGCTTCTTACCTAAGGCCTCAACAGTATTTACACCCCTGTATGAACTGTTGCACAAGTGGAAGTCGTGGACTTAGGGCCCGGACCAAAGAAAGACCTTCGCAAATGCAAACAGGGTGCTCAGCGCCTCCTCGTATCTCGCGCATTTCGATCCGAGCCGGACTCTAGTGTTGCAGTGCGATGCTTCCCCACGCGAAGTAGGCGCAGTCCTTTGCCACAGGACGGATGACGGTTCCCTTCGTCTAATCGCTTTTGTTGCTCATACCCTGCAACCCGCTGAAAGGTATTCCTCCCAACTGGACAGAGAGGACTTAGCCATTATTTTCAGAGTCAGGTATTTCCACCAGTACGTCTGGGGAAGACAGTTTGATATCCACACCGACCATGAACCATTTCTTTCGCTTCTGGGTGACGAGAAAGGAATCCAACAGATGTCTTCCCCTCGAATGCAAAGGCGGGCACTACTTTTGAGCGTCTATCACTACAAACTTCAGTATGTAAGCGGAGCAAGTAATACCATTGCGATGCACTCAGTCGCCTCCAGCAGCAGCATGGCGCAAAAACGAACAGTGAACCCATGGAGTTTATTAATTTGATGCAACACCTTAAAACCACACCCATACAGCGTGACGTGGTGCGACGCCTGACGGAGCGCGACCTCGTGTTGTCGATGATGAAACGGTTTTTGATGACCGGATGGCGTACAAGAACATCAGACGAACTGAAACCATTCGCCTGTCGGAGTAATGAGTTGAGTCTATACGATGGCTGTATATTTCGAGGCTCGCGCATAGTTCCGCCAGAAGAACTACGGCCTCAGTTGCTGAGAGCTATATGACGTACACTCTGGCGTGAAAAGAATGAAGGAGCTGGCACGTTGTTATTGTTGCTGGCTGAACAGTGACCAGGACATAGTACGGCTGACGAAAAGCAGCGAAGAATGTCAGAAATAGCAAATGCAAAAATCT